TAAGTGCTATGTATTGTCATCATTGTATTGTCCCATAAAATGGCCAAATTAGTTCTCTGCATTTAACCCATTGGACCTGGGATACACCCAGGTAGAGCAGTGGGCAGTTATGTAAGCACCTGGGGAGCAATTAGGGATTAGGTGGACAGGCTTTAGGCGAGTCAATTTGCCCTGTTGGCACGCACGCAGCTGGATATTTTATTGACTTGAAGACTTGATGATGTGTCTATCTTTGCTGCCATTTGTGGATTTTAAGGACACATATTTAATTGGATTTATAATAACTGGTTCCTGCTTTTTGGATTCGGCTGGTTGCTGGTTTATCTACATTCAAGTAAGTCGTTGGCAGCAAATTGGGACCCGATCATGCTGCATGCCTTATGATGGCTTGGTTCATGCCTTGAGTACCCAGACTCAAATGCGTTGGGCAGAATAGATCAGATCTCAGGGATTTTAATCAGGCACGTTCCATCGGTGTGGCCATGTAATTTGGACATTTCAGAACTGTTTGGACCAACACAGACTCAAGGTAGATGTCATTAAGATCTGCCTGTCCACAAAACAACTGTTTATCTGAATTTGGCTCCCCTGGCTGGCCTTGAAGGCCACCTTATCTAAATTTGCCTGGAGGACATGTAATCTGACTCGCCCCCCCCCCCCCCCCCCTCGAGGAATTTCCAACTGAGCAGAGGAAACTAGCTGAATAAACACTATGTCATCGTTTCAGGACTCTTGGATTCCCATAGGCATTGTCCTTGGCCATTCCCCGACATCCCTCGAGAATGTTTACGGATCTCACTGGAGGAAACCGGCTGATTATTCCATTCTTATCAGAACTCATACAGTGTCCTCGAGAGCAACCATGGACATTGCTCACCGCTCTCTTCGTCTCCCCCCTCTGTGGAATGTCTACATCACTGTGCTTGTTTGTGTGAGGTGTTTTTTAATATTGGAGTTTTTCTTCTCAGCCAAGAAGAAATAGCCTGATAGGAATTTTTGCCTCCAATTCCTACATGTGACCAGTTTCACTACTTTTTTGTCTGTCTAAACAGATCTCACTTTTAAATGAGTCTTCTATGCTAAATGTGACTTATCTGTCTAAATAAAGGTTGAATGAATGAAAGGTGTCTTGCTCAGAGACACCACGACATGTGGGAATGGCTGGTATCACTGACTATTGCCTCCTCGCGCAATAAATAATCATTATTAGGTAATTTTTTTTTATCAACGGTTGGTATTCTACCAATATCTAACTACTGGAAGTAGCTATGAATGTATTTAGACACAGAGTACCAGATTCTATGCTCAGCGGTATCCATTAAAAGGTCCATGTGCCGCAGATGGGTAGGACCTGGTTAGTACTTGGATGGGATCCTGCCTGGGAATACCAGGTGCCGTAAAATCAGGGGCGGCTGTGGCTGAGTGGTTAGAGCAGTTTTCCTACAATGGGAGAGTTGGGGGTTCGATTCCACCAGCAGTCACATGTTGATGTGTCCCTGGGCAAGACACTGAACCCCTCATTGCCTCCGATGTGTCCCATCAGTGTATGAATGTGATCCAAAGCTCTGATTAATCTCTACAGATTCAGATTAGCTCTGTAGAGATATAGTAAAGTGATGTATGAATGGATAAATGGGGCACAGATTGTGTTGTAAAGCGCTTAGAGTATCTTGACTGGATAGAAAGGTGCTATATAAGTACAGTCTTTACCATGTAATGTCTTGTCTTGTCTAGTATGGATGTTTTATGTGCCTGCTGTGAAACAAATAACCCCATTGGATAATAAAGATTCTTGAGCTTGAACTTGGTTCCAAATCAGCTGCTAACAGGTCTTGCAGGGGTTACCATCCAGTGAAGGGAGGCTTAGTCTTATAGTAAGAATATAATAATTTATGCTATTATTCCAGGGAGCAAGTAAGCAAAATGAAATGGTGGAACTAACCAGCAGAACTCTGATGATTTTCATAATTAGCTTCACAAACAGACAGGAAACAGCTAGCTAGGTTTCATCAGAAACTAAGTGTACTGCTTATACTAAAACAACAAGCTATAAAAATGAGCTAGCTAGCATTCTTTCTACCATAAAGTTAAATGGTGTCAATCGCTGTATCTGACTCTTAGCAGACAATATGTGCATTTGTTAAAACTAATATTTAAGGGACAAAGTACTTCTATTAACATGATCTATACGCACGCTATGAAATGGCTAAAGTTTATTGGATTATCATGATATCAAGAGTCCCTTCAGAGAAAGACAGGTTTGGATTTCTTTTTGTCTTGTATGTTTAAGAATCAAATAAGGTGAGTTCTAAATCAATGTGAGGAACACTGGAAAAGGGAAAAAGCAAGCAGTTCCCTGATTTTGTACATACCCATCTATTGTATTGAAGTCAGACCAAAAGCACAAAGCAAGGCACATGTTTCAAATAAAAAAAACTGAACAATTGCTTGTATTATACACATTGCCACAACTGGACACATGTACACTGAGAAAGCAATCAAATTATTCATAGTAATAACAAAAAAAGTACACTTTCTTTCAAAAATCCCAACATGGTATCCTACAATGAGTCGTTAGCTCAGACCACTGAAGCATGGAGAAGCAAATTTAATACTCAGATTAGATCTGTTTTCTTTAAAAATACTCTTCAGGATGACACACATCATAAATACACTTATTTTTTTGTTGCAAATATCCATATATATATAATCTCTATGTGATCAGAATTTAAATAGCACAACTCTCCTGATATATTATTTATTCATAGACAAAGATTGTTGCTCCCAGGAGACCACAATTTATTTTATGAGCTGAGGTGGAGTATTGCACCAGCCTTTGGTCAGATATAACAGAAATTAACTGTCAGGCTTCACCGCTGCTTGGTGTGTTTTTATATTTCTTCTTGTGTCATTTGAACACAGCGCCGTTGTCACGGTGATGCCAGTGAAAATGTCGACGATGAAGATTGTCGTGGCAAAATAGGATGTGAAAGTGGGATGAGAGGGTGAAAAAAAGTTTATCCTTGGAATATTAGCAAGTGGAGTTTATTTTTTAATAAAACAAGGGTTTGAAACCAGATGTGATTTTTGAGGCTGGTGCTGACCTCATTATTTCTCACGAGTTAACATTTTATCTCCGTTTATTGGAAAATGGACGAGTTACGACATTTAGAGACTAGCTGGGCTGCTGACTCGGTGTCAGCACAGAAATGTCTGGTCTTTAAATCCCCATGACTCATTGTCTACTGTGCATAAATATTCATCACCCCAAAGTTTTGTTGCTCAGCACACTGAGTCAAAGCAGCTGTAGTGAAGGTTGGACGAAGAGAAAAGAGGCTTCAAAGGGACAAAAGCGGATCAGATTGCATTTAACACATCTTTGTGAAATCAAGGAATTTCAGTACTTGCCAAATTAATGCTCAATGGTATAACAATGACAAAAACCTTGTTGTAATGTTACTGAAATGGGTAAATGAATAGATGAATCAGTCACTATGAGTTTAGTTGAACAGAATGTATCCTTACAAATCAAAAGCTTCACTAAAAGATGCATTGGGGACTTGAGTCAAGAGGAAGAAGCCTCTATGGTAGGTAGAGTACCTGTACAAGATTTTTTGGGACAGGCCAATCCATCAGAGCACTGTTATCTAAAGCGAGAAGTCCTAGTAGAGGTGGCATGGTGGTGCAGTTGGTAAAGCTGCTGCCTCTCATCAAGCAGGTTGCTGGTTCAAATCCCGGCCAGGGGCCTTTCTGGGTTGAATTTGTATGTTCTCTCCGTGCATGCATGGGTTTTCTCTGGGTACTCCAGTTTCCTCCCACAGAGCAAAAACATGCATGTTAGGCTGACTCGTAACTCTAAATTGTCTCTAGTGTGAGTGAGAGAGTGAATGGTTGTTTGTCTCGTTTGTCCCTGTGATGGACTGGAGACCTGTCCAGTGTGTCCCCTGCTTCTCGCACATTGATGGCTGGATATTGGTACCATTGACTCTTGCAACCCGAAAAGGAAGAAGCGGGTAATGATAATGGATGTATGTAGAAGTCCTATTATAAAGCATGGCAGTGGCTGTATCATGTTTGGTGAGACTTGGAAAAATAAACTTTTAAACAGAGACCTCAGAAAGGCAGCTGGCCAAGTCATGAGCACAATATGCCAAATAATTTCCTCTGCGTACATACAGCATATGTACTTTTGCAATGATTTCACTTAAATAATGTGTCGAACTCCAAAATGAATTAATCTTGTTCCATATATATATGAAGTAAGAAAGCATGATTTAAACTGGAAGGTTACTGCACTGGAAGGTTTAAGATCTGCTGCATTTGCTTCTCTGGTTCTCACACAAACAGAACCTTCCATGAGAAAAACTGAGATTCTTATGTTTCCAAAATGGAAATTTCTCTTTCTTCTTTCTTAATCTGCATGGGTCCTGAGGTTTTTAGAAACAACAATGTTGCAGCATTATTCACACAAACCTAAAATCACATTGTGCACTAGAAACCAAAACAACAATGGAGCCATTTTTAACGCTTTTCTACATCGTAATAATTCATGGCGATCTTTTATCAACTTTGATCGTGTCCTGGAATGGGTGTCCAACAAAAATGAAGATTTTTTCATAAGCAGAAAAAAAAAAGTGAGGCCTGAGTTTGTGTGTTGGTATTTAGTATTTAGCAGTTTAAAATCATGATACAAATCTAAACACAGCTAACCAGGGCTTTATTTGGAAACCGATCGATGCCAGAACCCAAATAGCGGACGGACTGGTGTGAGGAGGAGGGAGGGCAGTGCGCGGGGGAGGTGGTGGGGGCCTGTGGGTCCTCCTCCCCCTTAAATTTTTGAATAAAGTGGATGCTATTTCCTGCATTTTGGTGTAGCCTATTTTAACGGGTTGTTAAACATCTACTTTTACCTACATTTGTAAACACTTGATTCAATAACTATTTTAAACAGCAACAACAGGTTGTGTGTCAAGCGTTGCACCCCCTCCCCCCATGTGTATTATTCACATGATTAATGTGAATAATACACATCAAACATTTCATTCGTTGGCTGTGGAAAGTGATGTCTGGGCCTCCCCGCTCAAGCTGCTGCCCCCGCGACCCGACTTCGGAACAAGCGGAAGATGATGGATGGATGAAATGTATGTGCCAGTTCCAACATATCACTCCATATGTGCGCACTCCATAGAGCTGTCTGGAGACGCTCCTGTGTGTAACCTGCACTGTCCGCAGGGCGCGCCTCTGAAGGTGTTGGATGAAGACGCTTCATCCCCGGGCAACACGCTGTCGGCGTCTCTGCTGGGCAGGAGCATGTGCGTGAGCTGGTGCGTGAGCTGCGGTCAGAACATCCCCTCCACAGACTGGATCTGCCAGGCCAAGGGCAATGTCTCTTCTCATTTTACTTTTAATAAATAATCAAAACAAAAATGCACAATGACTGAACTTTTAGGGGCAGAGATTTGAGTTGCCGGATCTGAGCAAACAGTTGCCAGAACACACCCTGCCAAAATGAGAGCATTCCAGGATCTTATTCCGACAGGATGCGGCTCAAATTAAGCCCTGCAGCTAACTCCAGTTCTAATAAATTAAAATAGTCAGTTTACTAAATTATGTGAATTGTCAAAAACACAATAAGCTTTCTTTGACTCAATAATGCGAGTGAGACTCTTCATTTGGAGTTGTACAGAGTTGAAGTCTGAGCAGAAGGAGAGCAAAGGTGTTGAAGTTGACATTATCAGGATGGAGTGTGTGTGTGTGTGCCTTTGTGTTACCTTATAAGGCCTGTTTTTCCAACAAATACTACATTGTGAGGACCAGCTGCTCCATACGGGCCCCATAAGAAGAAGTGCTGTTGGTGAGTTAGAGGTTTAGGACTAAGGTGTGCATTGGGGATGAGTGATGTTCAGGGGTATGTACTGGTAATGGTTAGGTGTAAAGTTAGGTAAGTACTGGTAATAGTTAGGGTAAGGGTCAGGGTTAGGCTACAGAAATGAATGAAAGATGAATGGAAGCCAATTCAAAGTCCCTGTAAAGATAGAACGACAAATGTGTGTGTGCGAGCATGGAACCTGAAGTTTGCTGCTGTACCTGGTCAGGGAGCAGAGTTTTTGAAGCCCTCTTTCTGGTCTTGCAGCTCTGACTGCTTTGTGCTGACGTTCACGGGGGGTGGGGGGTGGGTTTGGAGACACTTAGCAAAATATTTCCTATTCTTGTAAAACTTTTCTCCATGGTCCTGATTTTAATAACATCCTTAGATCTTTTCCCGAAACATCTACTTTTGTTACCTGCTGAATCCACGTCACAACCTGCTGAAGCCTCAGTGTAGTTTAAATCTGGTTTAGTTCGTATTATCTGTGTGTGGGTGTGTGTGCGCAAGTCAGTTGCATGTGTCATTGTGCTTCTCCTGCGTGCACGTGGGCTTGTGTGTGCATATTCATGGTGGATGAAAATGACGTGACGGAGATGCAGCCAAGACAAGAACCTGAATCTGATCCTGAACTCCTGTCGACACACACACACACACACACACACAAGCAGACGTGCACACCCTTCAGGAGTTGAATGGTCTCAATTTGGTCACAGATAAAAATGTTCCACCAATTCATTTACATCGTCACAACACCAGAGGTCACCATTCCACACAGAACCAAGACATCGAACCAAAGAGCTAGAGATTCATATTTATCGGTATATATCATATATTACTGTGCTAATGCAGGACTTTTTCAGTAGATATAAACTCTCCATGCTTAGAATGTACACATACCATACTATGATTCATCACACAGTTGGTTTTTAAAATCTATATTAGTATTTGTTCACTGCAAGAGTCCATTAGGAGTTCTTAAAGACTCATGTTTCGACTGCAGGTTTCTCCATGATCAATCCATTCTTCATGTTTTTCTAATGTTTTCCATTATGTCTTTTATTCATCTCTCTTTAAGTGCATCACTTGTTCGTTCTCTCTTCCACGTCTCTGACCAGGCATACAACGCCGCTCCGTCGTCGTTTTTTCATCAACGAACGTCAGGAGGCGAGAGGAAGAAGGCAAGAATGGAGTTTCATCTGAAGACGGGAGGAGCGTGTCAGAGAGGAGTGGAGGAAGGAGCGAAATGTTGAGAGATAAGGAGGCACGCTGCCTGTTGTGCCGTCTGATTCAGCCGTGATGCTGCAGAAACGTGTTGACCGCTCCATATGGTTACTCCAACATGGCGTCCAGCTGGTCCGCCAGGTCGTCGAACATGCTGCCGATGTCATCGAGGATGCTCACGGTGGTCTTCTGCTCGGCCATGGAGCTGGAATAAAACACACAAATATAATATTACAGGAGTGTGATGGGAAAAGCTACACATCAGTGGCGATTTTATCAATAAATTAAAATAAGATTGCATCAGCGTGTGGCACGGAGGCTGCACAGCTGCAGAAAGAAAAGCTTTGCAGAGAGTGGTGAAGGCTGCACAGAAGATGTTGGAGTCAGCCTCCCCACCATCACAAACATCTACGCCTCCAGACGCAGGAAGAGGACCACCTGCATCATGAAAGACCCACTCACCCAGCACACACACTTTTTGCCCCACTCCCCTCAGGAAGGAGGTTAAGGAGCATTAAGTGTAGAACCACTAGACTGAGGAACAGCTTCTACCCTGAGGCTGTTAGACTCATGAATCCCCAACCAGAATAATCACTGTAATGACACTTTATCCATTCTGTTGATTATCCATGCTGCTGATTATCCATGCTGCTGATTTCTTACCTATAAGCTGCTATATTCATACCCATCTGCTCACAACAGACTCATGTTCAGGCTGCTGTTTAATATACCGTATTATATTACATTATTATTCTTTAGCATATGTCTTAGATCCTTGTATACAGTTTATTTGTTATACTTTATATTTTAGCTATTTTGGGGTGTAACTGGGACCTTGAGTACCAAATTTCATTCCACCTCATGTACCACATGTGATGCGAATGACAATAAAGAACGTTGAACCTTGATTTTAGCCTCTTTTTGGGGGTGCTCAAGCACCCCTAAATTTTTAGCTCAGCAACCCTGAAAACTAAAGAAACCATCATTATGATTTTGTAAGGAAGCTCAGTTCTCAAATCTTAGTCACCAAAATATTGAATAAATATGAAATAAATGATGATTCCTAAACAGGCCAGTAAAAGCTACGATCCCCCCCCCCCCCCCCCACACACACACACAAATCAGATCCTCACTGCCACCTGTCAATCAATCCAGTACACTCGTCAGCAACTGACCAATCAAAACCTCGTTTTGTCCCGAAGGTAAACGTCCCTTACCTGCAGGAGCTACACCCTCTTTTCATCCAACAACATTGTCGGGGTTTTGCATTACAAACACTTTGCAGTCAGAGGTTGATAGTTAAATTAAAGGTTAATGGTTAAAGCTAGTTGTGTTTTGTTTTGTATGTAGATATATGTTTCAACTTCTGGTTGCATAAGTTTAGTCTTTGTTGGCTATGATCCTTTAAAAGTCCTATTTGTGACTGAGCTCCTCGTTTACGGTCATACCACCCTGACCACGCCCGGTCTCGTCTGATCTCAGAAGCTAAGCAGGGTCGGGCCTGGTTACTTGGATGGGAGTGTAGAGGAAAGGGTCCTCAGATCGTTGAATTTTTATTAGTAATTTTATTCTGAAGGGGCACCACTTGCTTTCCGGTTCTTAAGCAAGAAATTTATTAAATCAGACTCAAGTTTTAGTGCACTAGTGAGTTCTTTTCATATTAAACTCAAATGTCATATATAATAAAAACGCTTTGAGTCAAAGTACAATTTTGTGAGATTATTATCGATTTTGCTGAATATAAGTGGTCAAAAAAAATCATAAGTACAGCTGAAGCATGAATAATGGCTTTAATTTGACAACACAAGAAGAGGTTAGGGAATTATCTTCTAAACTTTAATATGGTGAATTATGAGGTTTAAAAGCAGAGTAAATTATCATCTATAAAGTTACCTAAATGAAGTATTTTGGCTAGATGTAATTTGTCAATTTAGTAAAACTTTATTCTAATTAATAATGATGAATTTTGTTAGACTGGACAACTTCTTATCTTGGGCCTCAGACACCAGCAGAGAGAGAAGGAGCAGCTTTTCCTACCGATAGACTATATGCCACGGGTAGTGGTGACGTACTTCCGTTAAAATTTCAGAAGGGTCCATCACTTCCGGCTCCTATCCACTGCAGTTGTTTTTAGCATAAGCTACTAGTAGTAACCATGAAAAAGACTCAAAACGGAAAGCGTCTGCGATCTACTGGCACTGCAAGTCAGTTCTGTTGTGTGCCGTTGTGTCCACTAACCAGTAGGTACAATAGAGTAGTTAGTTTTTTCCATTTTCCTGCCGTTGAGGAGTTAAGGCGACAATGGACCGTGGCTATCCGCAGGGAAAACTTAGCTTTAAAAGTTCACACCCGCGTTTGTAGTCGGCATTTCAAACCTGAGGACATTCAAGAGCCAGTATCCGAAAAGGGAAGACGGATGTTAAAAAAGGGAGCTGTACCTGCTTTGTTTGAATGGAATAATTACTCCCTTCCACCACCAAGACCCGCGGTTTGGGAGAGAAGGAAAAGACCACCTCCAGAGGACAGCGAGGAGGAAGATAATACAACAGCCAGTGTAGACACCCATAAGGATCACGATTATGCTGCTAGTCCAGACCCTGCAGTTGTGGATTCAGTGCTGGAGGAAAATAATAATCTCCGGGAGGAAGTCCGCCAGCTACGGGAACAGGTTGAGAGCCTGACGCTGAGGCAGCGATTCGGCATTCAACGTTTTGCATCCTCCGACAAGGACATTAGATTCTTCACAAGGTAGGTGTGTGTGTGTGAGGAGGGGGATGCGCGCGCGTTTGTGTTACACAGAGTATAAAATTATTTTAGAAAACCTTTTCACGAGTTCTATGCTAAAGCGAAAAATTCAGTTTGAATTAAGTTCGCTCTCTCTCTGTCTCTCTCTATATTTAATGTGTGTGTGTGTGTGTGTCTATGTGCCTAGGTATATTATTTGTGTGTATGTATACATTTCATTTATTTTAATTTTTTGTGTTCATTTCATACTTAAAGCCCAAAAAAAACAATTTACAAAACCACATGAAAAAAATACATAAAATGAAAGGTAGCAGAAGAAATAATCTTATCATATCAGCCCCTTCTTTAAAACAAAATTAACTCAAAATATCAATTCAAACAAGTCATCTATGAATAATGTAACATGACAAATAACTAATACCAATCTTCCATATAAGTATTTATATTCTAAATTAATTACAGTATTACAGCACAGTGCCTGGGGTTGAATTTATTTTTAAGTATGCTGTGTAGTTTAACATGGACACTAATTGTTATGGTATGTTTTTTTTTTCAGGTTTGCATCATATGACCTTCTGATGCATTTCTGGGGCATGATTGAGCCCTCTCTGCCATCCATGGTCAGTGTTCGCCAAGGACAGAGAGGAACTGCCCTCGACTCCACTCCATCAACTTGTACTTTGCAGCCCATCGATGAGTTTTTCATGTTTTTAAATTACCTTGCCCTTGGATCCAAGCAACGTGATCTTGCTGACCGGTACGGTGTCCATCAGTCCACTGTCAGCAGGATCATCACAACATGGAGCAATTTCTTATTTACAGTCTTAGGTTCAATTAGGATCTGGATACCGGAGGAACATATACGAAAACATCTACCGGCAGACTTCAAACACTACCCTGACACTACAGTCATCCTTGACTGCACTGAGCTGAGGTGTCAGTGCCCATCTTCCCCTCTCCTCCAGAGTGAGGTGTTTTCATCTTATAAATCCCACTGCACTCTGAAAGGGCTGATTGGGATTGCACCTCATGGGGCAGTGACATTCATCTCTGGACTGTATGCCGGGTCTATCAGTGACAAGCAGATCACCCGTGAATCTGGTCTCATCACGCTGTTAAAACCAGGGATGGCTGTTATGGTGGACAGGGGCTTTCTTATTGATGACATTGTTCCCTGCAAAGTTTACAGGCCAGCATTTCTGTCTGGCAGGTCTCAGATGTCTGCTGAGGATGTTAGAGAGACCCAGGACATAGCACGTCTCAGGGTGCATGTGGAGCGCCTCATTCGCCGGGTCAAAGAGCACAAGTTACTTGACTCTGAAATTCCCCTAGGTGTTTTTGGTATAATCAACCAACTGTTCACTGTTGCTTGTCTACTCACAAATTATGAAAATGGCCCACTAGTAAAGTCCTGGGCAAAGAAGCCTGACATCTGAGTAACAGCAAGAAAATATGCTGTATATCTATGTTTGATTTTGTTTTTTTGTACTTACAATAAAATTAAATCACTGTCATAAATATTTCAATTTCTCTGAACTTTTTCCATTAAATCAGTTCTTTTATAACATTTTTCATGTAAGTCAAGCCATCAAGTGGGATATTGAAATACAGTACTAATAAAACTGAAATGAAAAAATTTATTTTATTTATTTATTTTTTTTTCAAAAAATGCCACTCATCTAGTGAATGCAAACTGTTGAAACAGAAAAACACAGTTCACAAAGAGGGTATGATTATAACAGCCTAATAGCTAATTTCAAACAGAATAAATTGTATCTGACCTTAAAGAGAAATACATAAATCTAACTGCTTAAAAATAATATAAATGGAAGGAACATGACACAAGTATTAACAGTATTTTCAATCATATATGCAAAGGTTAAAATTTGACTATGTTACCTTAATTTGCAAGGCAAGCGCTGAGGTAAAAATAAAAAAAGAAATGGTCAACCTTTTGTTTTATGGTTTGCAGTACTTGCATGTCACGGGGAACCCTCTCAATAAACATGTCATTTTCTGTGTAAATGACAAAGTCACACCAGTCACACCCTGAAATTAGCATTTGTCCCTGGATTTGCCAGTAATATGGGTGTGTACGTTTGAGTGTCTGCCTACCATCCCTAATCATTATGTAAGAGCAGTCCACATAGCTTGTCACATTTGGGCATTTTATTTCTAAAAGGCCAAACACTTGTTGCTCCTCAGGATCGTAAATAATTCCATCTGGTGATGACCCCATCCATGGTGCGTCAGGATGTATCAAGAACCCACATGGGTAGTGGTTTACTTCCCTTACCCTGCAATACTCCTCTATAGCTGTTGGCTCTAGGGTAAGCCCCCGACGCATGTCAGCAGTTTGACTGCAGGGTCTCAGAAGCCTTTTCGCAAGATTTTCAGAAGAGCTGTCACCCCTGGTGTGACAGACCTCCCTAAACCTTGTTGAAGTAACACGACACTTTC